GAACCCAAAACCGTTTTCAGCAACCCAAAATCATTTTTAGAAACCCGGTGATTTTTTCACTTAAATATGTAAATTTTTTACTTTTAGTATTAGTAAGTTTAGTTTAAACATAAGTAAATTTTGTCAAATAATAAGTAAATTAAATTACTCAAAGTGTAAATTTCTATTTCTGACTAAAACTTATCTTTCAGGCTTATACTTACTAGTTTGAATTAAAAACTTACTTATCTTCTCGACTTGGCAACCCGTTTCTTTTCTAGGTATTTTATGATTAGAACTCCATTCTCTCTATATTACAAACCATCATCAAACTAATTGAAAACCTCAATTCTCATATAAACCATTCATCTGAATTTTGTTCCAATCAACCCATTCAACAGATTTATGTTCCAGTCTAATCGTTATGATATAGCAATGGCATTAACAAGCTATTTTGACTCTCCCGGTAAGGGTTTACGTATTAGTAATTTTTTAGGAGGAAGATGAGTTATTCACATGTCCAAAATATCGAAACAACCAGCATAATCTAATCCTTAGTTCAATGAAAGTCACAAATTTGCGGGTAGGTAGATTAGATTATGTTGAATGCCTTTGGCTCTTTACAATGAAATTCAAAATTTTTTCTCATGACAGAGCAAAGACGGTGATATAATTGATTGTGTCTATATGTATCAACAACCAGCATTTGACAATCCTTTGCTCAAAGACCACTGGATTCCGCAGGTTTGCCCCATGCAACACCATTCAAAAGAAAAATAAACAAAAAAAAATGCAAAAATATGAAGTATGTATAACACCATAATTGATTGATGGTCGGAAACTGTTCTATGAATTTTCTCTCCTTTCCTGACTGAAGAAGAGGGAAGATGTGATTCTACAAAATCTACATGTATCATAGGATGGTAATAAGAATTGCTTCTGCAACACAGATTTACAAGAGTAATAATGGCCAAATTTCCGTGGCATTGCAGACGTTACAATGGAGTAAAAAATTCAAGAGGCTGATAATAAATTTCCATAGAAACAACAGATTCGCAACAATGATTCTAGATCAGTTCAGTTCAATAACATATGCTCCATCAAGCGTATCAACTTAGAATTCCAAAACGGGAGAAACCTCTCTTGCCTGAAGAATTCAAGTTATAAAGCTCATATTGAGTTACTAATATATTAGTAATTCTCACCCGCACAGAGTAGCAATCACAACATACAAATTTCTCTTTGACATTTCACCAAACATCTTATATGCATTCACAAATTAATCACATTTAACTTAAACGCCTGGTCTCAAGTCCTTTCCTAGATGTTTCACATGGCTATTAAACATATTAATCAAAACTACAACCATTTCCTAGATGTTTCAACTGACATTTTCAGCCCCAAAATTGCAATAAAATTTTCAAATTCTCAGCCTTGATTTCCCAAGAAAATCTTGACAAACAAAACAAATGAAATATAAATAAATTACAGCAATATAATCAAACGATTTCAAGAGAACATGATGATCTAACCTCGTCACTGCTAATTTTCATATGCTCTTTGGCTGGCTACCACCGTCGCTAACCCTTTTGTTGTGTTTGCATATGGCAGCACTCAAACCCAACCGAACGATGAGAAAGGATAGAAGCAAAGTGTGAACTAAAGATGAAAATTTTGAAGTGAGAAGATTTATTCAATTGTAACAAAGAGAAAGTGTGGATCAAAGTGGAAACCTTTGCCTGGGAATTCAATCGTATCATTGGAACTGGGAACTGAATAAGAAGAAGGTAGATAACTTTAAAGAGAAAGGTGATACCCAAAACGGTTTTCAGGAACCCAAAACCGTTTTTTTACTTAAATATGTACATTTTTTACTTTCAGTATTGGTAAGTTTAATTTAAACATAAGTAAATTTTGTCAAATAATAAGTAAATTAAATTACTCAAAGTGTAAATTTCTATTTCTGACTAAATCTTATCTTTCAGGCATATACTTACTAGTTTTAATTAAAAACTTACTAAAGTTAATATTAATTATTTTAATATAATATTTAAAAAGTCACTAAAAGATTTGATCTGTCACTAAAGGTAATAGAAACCTATAATAGCAGGTTTCCCTAATATCGTTACCATAACTATAGGCACTGTAGCACTGTCCATTTGTTTTGTTCAATTCCCCACAAACTGAGCGAGAGTCTACCGCAGTCGACTCCAATTCCCATCCGGCAGGTATGGCCACGGCCAATCTTTTGTCCGCCACAGTAACTCCATCCCTCATCCACTTGCACAAACCACCGTTATACTCCACCATCTTCTCATCATCTTCTTCCAATCCCAGAATCCCGTCACAGCTGTCAATTTTCCACCTTACTAGCCCCTCAAAAAGATCAAATTTTTCCAGAAGAAACCTCGTAATAGTTCAATCTAAAGGCAGCAACTCAGCTGATGCCCCTGACCGTTTAATCTCCGCCATCTGTTACTTCTTCCCCTTCTTTGATGGCATCCAGTATGGAAAGTATGTCATCACACAATTTGCACCGGTTCAAGCTCTCGTTCAGCCTTTGGTCCCAGCTATAAAGGTCTTTAAAGGCTTCCCTTTGAATGGGTTCTTGGTTTTCTTGACCCTTTATTTTGTGGTTGTTAGGAATTCTAATTTTAGTAGATATGTGAGGTTCAATACAATGCAGGCTATTGTTCTTGATGTGCTCTTGATTTTCCCTGATCTTCTGGAGAGGACCTTCAATCCAAGAGATGGGGTGGGGTTGGATTTACTGATGAGCTTTGACAGCACTGTGTTTTTGTACCTTTTAGTTTGCTTGATTTATGGTTCCTCTTCTTGCTTGCTTGGTCAGCTCCCAAGATTGCCCCTTGTTGCTGAGGCTGCTGATAGGCAAGTTTTGTGAACTCGTAGCTCATTTGCTTACCTATAAATGATGCTGTAATTATTTTCTCTGCCATTACGTTAGGACATCTTATCGATGCTTTAGTTATTAGTGTAAAAGAAGAATCTTTACTCTGTTTTGTTCTTCATTTCGACGATTCATTTGATAATTAGAATGTCGCCCCTTTTTGTTTCCTGATACTGGCAGTTAATAACAGTTGCCCTGATTCATAGCTCTTGATGTTGTTGTTGCTGCTTAATTGGTTCTGTAACAGGGGTTGAGTTCTGTCTCTTTTGGGATTCATCTAAATTGCGTTATGAAATTTATGTTCCTAGAATAAATGGTGCAATATTTGCTCGCTGCTTTCATTTGCTGCATAAACGATCCTGCATCGCTGGATTTGTTCCTGCATAAATAATCTTCGTTCCATCTTCATATCACAAAACTAATTTCTGTAATGACCAATGGGTGTCAGTGACCTGCGCACTATTAGTTACTTGGCCAAATGACTTATGGTTTGCTGAGAACTGTGATATGTTAGACTCGAATTGCGATTCCAGAAGTTCGAGCAATGTCTGCTGTGCGTCATTTGTTATGAAATTGCATGGAATGAGCCATAGGAATTCCTATGAGCATCTTTGGTGTAAGAACTATAGAAATAGATCTAGCATTTGGGGGTCCAATAAGGACTGAATATCAAATTTCAAGTGTGTGTAATTGTGTCTAGTATCTTCATTTGAGGTACTTTGCTCTCATTGATTGTTCTGATAACCAAGTCTTCCACAAAGGTTGATGTTCACCAGAAAAAACCCTATCTTCCCATAAAAGATCAGTTGTACCTCCTATATTTCAAGTAATTTAGAGAATTGTAGCCTTTCATGTTAACAGATGCTGAGCCTGCTTTTGCAAATAGCCAGAGAACCCCATTATTTTATCATTTAGCTTCAGAAGTTGGATTGTGTTTCGATTGATTTCTTTTCTCTCTTCATGTTATATCATGATAGTGCTCTCTGTTTATGAAGCTTCTTAATATGGCGTTGTCGATGTCAGAATTCCCACTGCAAGGACTCTGTTGCTTTTTAGTTTTCTTTGACTTGATTCCGGCATAGCATGAAACCAAACACAAAGAAAGAAATAGTTTCTGTTTGAAAACAAAAGGAGACAATGAGAATTTGTTGCTTGACGAAGGTTAAAGATTTTACTAAATTCTAGGACCTATACACTCCCCTCTTTCCCCAAACACACTTCCCTCTTTCCCCACTGCAAAGAAAAAGGGAAAAAATAAAGAAAAGAAAAGGAAAGAAAGAAGGAAAGTAAGGAATTTTCATTGCTATACCCGTTTCCTGTTGTTGTTCATGAGTTCATGGGATGAAATATGTATAAAATTGTGCATTTTGCTACTGAATGAAATAGAGGGTCGTAACTTGAAAATACTCTATGAACGGTCCTAAATGTGAGTATGATAGATGCACTATCAGATTGTTTCAGATTTTGGAAGCTGTACAGATCAACAGCTTTCTGTGGTTGTGAACTGTGTACTACATGTACCATGTCTCAGCTCAGCCATCTCCAGCAATCACTCCTTCCCAATGAAATTTAAGAACTTTTATGCAACTTCAAGAAAACGAAGTAACAATTGGTCCATGTTTAGCAAAGCAGTCAAACTTGATAAAATTATGTCAGAAGTAGTTTGCTAAAAAAATACTAGCTATGCTGGGGAGAAATCTCAGGTTATAGACAGTTAAAAGTACTATTAACTTACTCATCATATATTGATCATGGATGACAATCAGCAAAGGCTCCATCGAAAGTGAATGCTTCACCAAATTACAAGGACAGAAATGAAGTTCAGTCGAAAAATGGGGTTGCATGTTTGTCAACAAGTGAAGCATTAAGCCCCTGCATAAGTATGACAAATGAAGTACCACACAAGAAATATTCCAAGCGTCAACAAATATGTACTGCTATTAAGATGCTTTGACTAGTACACTTTGGTTCAAAATTTTATGAACAAAAAGTAAGCATACTTTTTACTTTGCTGAACAAGAATGTTAGCTACCTAAAGGAACAAATGATGATGATCCATTTATGCAGGATTCAATAGGCAATAAGGAAACTTAATAGTCTGCCATCCAGTCTTCAGTCAATAAGATCGAATAAGACGAGCTGCAAATGCTCCATCAAGTGAATGCTTTACAGGATTACAGTGATAAAAGCCATTTTCAGCGACAAACTCATGAGGTACATATCCGTCAGCTGTATCTACAACAAATTCCTGCATCAGCAAATAATGCTTCAAATTTTAGTGTTTAACAACTGAGGCAGTAAAACACCAAATGCTCAATACACAATTAATTTGGTCTTTTCAATTCCCAAGATGAATAAATTCTATGAATTATACACTAAAAATCAGAATATGCAAGGTTTCATCTGCATCATGTTCATAAAATTAGGTTCTAAAATCAAAATGAGGGGCTTACGAGCAAATTTTGTATAATATGTTTCTAATTTAGAATATCAGCAGTTACATATCGTAAGCAAGATTCCCCCAAAATTTCAATTAAGCTCTTAGCTAATCCCAGGAAACAATCTGTGAGCACTAAGCAAGGAACATGGCACAATTTTGAAAACAGAAAAAACAGTAGCAGGACAAAGTGCAAATGTCATTACTGGATGCCTGAGAAGAAACGAAGCAACTCTCTGCTCATTCTCTTCCAGATCAGTGGAACAGGTGCTGTATATTAGAAGTCCACCAGGTTTCACCAACCTAGAGATGCCACAAGCATGAAGGGTTACAGAAATTCAAATACTTTTACAACACTAGCTATACAGTTACATACATACACCAATAGAAAAATAAAATCAATTAATTACCATCTAAAACTAGTAATAATTGCTTACACACCTGTATAACACTAGAAGGTTTTTTTTTTTTTGAGTAAATGTGAAACTTTTATTGAATAAGGCCAAGAAATTTACACTTCAGGGTATGCCCTTACTACATGAATACATAACTCTAAAACTATACATTATATACAAACGAACAACCAAATCAGTATCTCTTAGCAGAACTGATTCAGAGATATGCCCCTCCATTGTAAGATCACAATTTTCTCTATTCCTTGAGAAATTGCCCCAAGACTTTACCACATATTGTACTGTATCAGTAATAGTTTGCATAATTCCTAAAGATGACACTTGCTTTGCCTGGAACAATTTGCCATTCCTGGCTTGCCACAGTTGATAAATTGTGACAACAAGGATCAGTCTTCTGAGTTGAAATCCAAAGGAATTCGATGCAAGAACCGTTTAAGAACAGGTTGAAAACTAATTAGTTCTGGCTTCTCTCATAAATTTATATTGAATTTTAAAACCTCACAAGATAAAGATGGATTTAAAAAAAAAATCCATTTAACAGGGCAAAATTGCAGCTTAAGAAGTGGAAGTCTCGATTCTCAAAGAGGGATGGAACTCACAATATATGAGTTACTGCTTTCTCAAAGAAAACAATGAACTATTAGTACAAAAATGCAATCTTACTGGTCTAATATGAAATATCATACTCAGACAGTAAAAATGAAACTTTTAATCTCACACTGAAGCTGAATCAAGAAGTTCATCTTGCAAAGCTTTAAGTTGTTCCATGTCTTCCAACCGCCTATTCCAGCGCAAATCCGCTCTCTTCAGCAAAAAAAGGGAAGAAAATAAAAGTCTAAACAATTAAAGAAGAAAGCAGAAGTCTAACCAAAGAGAAATCTCTTAATATTCAAAGAAAAATTTCAAGGAAAAAGATAAGGGACTCTTTGGACACCTTAGAGAGCACACCCAATCCGGAACAAGGTGCATCCAGAAGAACTTTGTCATACATGACATGGTTATTCTCCTGAGATATAATGAAAATAAGAGCAATCAACCAGCAAGAAGCCAGACACAAAATAATTCAGTCTTCGAGACTTTCTACCATCACCGTTAAGTGAAATGAGAAAAGAAGAAGAAGAAGAGGATGATTCTCACGGCAAATGTTCGGAGATCAGCATGAACAGCAGTAACAACATTCTGAACTTGATGCTTTTTTGCAGTCTCTTTAAGGATTCGCAGACGCCCCTTATTTATGTCAACTGCAGTTACCATACCTGAAAAAGTAGCAAAGAATCACAAGCATCATTAAATAATGCTTTTTCCAAATCAAATATTATATGTGGATAGTAACTTCCACTGCCTTCCCCCCTCCATAATTGTTATATAAAGTACTGTAGTATTCAAGTAGAATAGGGGATGTGTGAAAAGTTACACTCAGCTCTAGTATTTCTCACATTTATCTGTAGCAGAAACACTCCCAAAAGAAGAAACCAACTTTACAACAAACTCCACATTGTGAGCTCTGACACCAACTTTACAATAAACTCTATATAGTGGGTTCTGACACCAATTTTACAACAAACTGTACATGGTGAATTCTTAAAAAAATTGATAATCATGCAAAATTTATTATCAATAAAAGAAATGGCACTTGACAGCTAAAATTGAAAGAACAAATGTAACGTTTATTTTATTGTCTACAAAGTTTCATACATGTGCATTTATGCATGTTTAGATGCTTCACATTCATAGATAGTAAAGCTTCCACTCTTCACTTCCGAAATCTGACGTAACATGCTCAGTCAATTCCTAGGCTATAGAAATCTCACCTGTCAAAGCACCCAGACCTAGAAGTATTACCTTTTCCATATAAACAGGATGCCAAGAAAAGTGTTTTTCCTCCTGGAGCAGCACAACAATCTAGAATGCTCTCACCAGGTTGTGGATCGACAATGGAAACAACCAGTCCTGCCCCAAGATGTCTAAAAGGTATTATATGTGAACCATGTGAAACAAATCACGTATCTATAATGCTTAAACTACCAGCTGCTAGATTGGAAAAACATTAAAATCTGTAGCCAACTTCATTATATTTGAGAAAAGGCAAATAATGAACACCACTGATTTGAAATAAGAGGGCAAGAGAAGAAGAGACAGAGAACTTCACTATATGAAAATTAACCCTGTTGAAATTCCACATTACTTTGATACCTCCTGTTCAATGTTTCAATGAGGTCCAGAGGTTCTACATGGTCATATGGCAGTAAAAATTACCAGCACTCTCATCTTGGACAGAACAAAAACCATCTTTAAGCAATCCAGCTTGTATAACAATCTGAGAGGAGAAAATGCCAAACAATCAGGAATCCAAAAGATATACATGATACACCAATAACATATAATTTTGAACTTTAAAAGCCCTAGAATCTGTAATTTCAGTATGAACTTTAGGCATATTCTAGTCATAAGACAAAGCAATAACAATAGCTTAATTTACAAAAGACATCAGAACCTTACAGCTTGGTCTTTACCACCCACAAACAGAAATTCTTAGATTATTAGATATGTCAAATCCTTACTGAGAATTCAAGAAATAAAAGAAACGAAATCTTTTTTTCCCATCCTATAAGCAATCAACAAGAAATTGTAGTCCTAAGTTTAAGTGCGAGGTATCAAAAATAAAGAGAGAAAGATGCTGTAAACTATAAAACACAATTAAATGCACCTGAAGCCAATTTGAAGAACTTATACCTGCATCCCAGTTTTGATGCGGACAAAATCATCCAAGTGTGGAGAAATGTCATGTGGAACCTAAAGTTTTAGAAATGGGCAGGAAGATGTAATTATTAAGATTGTCCTGTTCTGAAATATAAGCATGTCAACACTGAAGAAGATCAACGATTCCATGATTATGAACATTAAACACTAAATGTGAGCATTGTCAAGCAATTCCTCAAAAACATCCAACAAGACTGCACACCAATAACATCTGGCATAAGACCCAAAATTATGTAAATTTAACTTCCAGTTGTAACTATCACAATTTCTGATAAAAGAGATCTAGAAATCCTCCCACATCAGTTCCATCTATTCAGAATTCCAAGAAGACAATATACATCAAATCAGGATACATGATGTAAGAAAGCAATAGGGTCAAGTAATCACCTTCAACTTTTCAAGCTGTTCTATAAGGTCAGCCCTTCGAAAACCTTTACTAATGTTTGCCCTGAAATTTAGTGTCATGGAATGTGTGCACAAAGCCATTGACCTTATGATTCAAACATCACTGAAAGAATACAAACCTCAGATTGAAAGTAGGATCTCTGTTGTTCCATATCATTAATCTAATTGCTTCTTCATGCCCAAGAAATTTTATCCAGCGTCTCACCATCCACTAGATATAGTAGGTCACAATGAGGTCAAGTTAGATTGAGATGACGAGAGATAAGGTTCTTCCTTTTGGATGCACATTTAACACTTTCAATCAATTTCTTAAGGCTGATGTTTAAGAAAGAATAATAAAAAGCTTTATCATATGTATTAACGGAGTCAATCCATATCTGCATGAAAAAAGATAGTAGTGATCCAGTTGCCCTAAACTCCAAGTAAATCATCAATATTTATACAACTAGAGAAAAAGGTGTTGAACCTACAACTGGATGAGAATAAATAGTAGCAAGAGCACGTGCTTGCTGACGATCATCACCCTCCACTTTTGGTGAAGGAAGGGTGTTACTTTCCTGCATAACCAAATGAAAGATCCATGATCCACTGAGAAGTTTGATTAGACAAACTTTGATTCTCTAATTCATAACAAAGGGTACCTTGAGTAAAACTAGCTTTCTCAGAATTCCATTGACCAAGTTACCAGCACCAGGTCTGAGGGCGACCTTGGCCAGTCTCACATTCTGTGATAAACAGAACATTTTGAATCAAAAATATGCAAACGCTATGGCATTTACTTTGTTGGACTATTCAAATTTAAAAAAGCTATAGATTATGTTTAACAAAAAGGGAATTCAGTTGAAAAAACCAAGATGATCAGGGTTTACCTCATCCACAACAGCATATGGAGGCATTTCTAACTTCACGATTTCATAGAAACCAATTCGAAGAATCTGATGAAAAAGATGGAACAATCACACATACATCTTACAATTTTGAGACAAATACCTTAAAACTTAAATGCTTTTGATGACATTGAACAATGCTTAAAGGACAAAGAAACAGGTCAGTGCAATGCTATCGTAATCAGAACTCTCACCCTGCATCTTTGCACAAAGAGCAAACAGTGACTTGATACATAACCAAACTCCATTTTTATGCTAGGTCAAAGCCGGTATTCAAGAAACAAAAATCCAGACCATCATTACTAGAAAACAAGCTCATAAATAGAAGCTCTTTTAACCTGTAAAAGAAGAGGCTCCATGCCTCTAAATGTGTCTTCATCATGGCATAATGAAAGAATCAGATGATCAAGATATCTTCTCCAGCGAATGGTGCCTCCCACAATGTCAGTAACCTACAAATTGCAAGTAATAGTTTCCAAACACATTACGAGATTTAATTCCACCACTTCATTGTTCCTACCTCCAAGAGCTGGATGATTAATTTTCAAACATCCTGAAACTCAGCCAAATAGAAAGGAAAACGGCATATTTAACTGGATTCCAGCTAGGCAAACACAATTTTGACCTCTCCATTCACAATTCAGAAAAAAAAACTAATTTCAAAGAAGCATGAGGAAGGAAGAATACCAGTCTCAAATCCCTATCATCCAAGTCTCGAGTGCGAAATCCAAGAGTCCTTTCAACATACCGCATCTCATTATCCCCCGAACCCTTTCCTTGCTCATTCAATAGGTCAGCAAAAGCACCACCAAGCTCTATTCGCATCAACCTAACAGCAGACACTGGAAAAGCAAACAAACGCACACATATAAGTGGGTAATAACTACGCATGGCACAGATAAAAGTCATCACGCGGCTCTCCATACTGGCAACAGTATAGTTAAACCAAATTGAGAAACCCAATATCATGCATGCAGCTTTTGTTTACCAGCCCTGTGAGGTGAAACTTCCATATTTAGCTTCTGGGTCTTGCTTGTAGGATTGAAAGGACCTAAAAATTGGCATTCCAAAGCAAATCAAACACCAAAAAAAAAAAGTTCAAACATCGTGCCCAAAAAGGAGGAATCTTTCTTACATAGCTGAACATCATATCATATGCCTGTCAACGCATACTCATTTGCATATACACAAAGCTTTGATTTCAGATATGGAAATTAGGAGTTACTACCAGTTTTGCGAGTAGAAGTTGTTGCTGAGTTGGATTGTCGAGTTTTCTTGGCTAACATCACTTTCTTAGTAGTTGTACCAATTAATGCAGAAGCTGAGAGAAGTTGTGAAGAATTGAGCACTGGGACTGAAGGCGCTTGTGGCAGCATTGAAAATTCAATCTTGCTCCAGTTTGCGACGTAATTCCGAGGGTGAGGATGCTGCTGTACCTTCATCCCGCGTGTTTATAATTACTTCCACGGAATAAACGACGTCGTTTTGGGAGCACATTTCTTAGCTATCCCTTTTTTTTTTTTTTTGAAAATTATACGCTGACCTCTCTGAGGTTTAAGGGGTATAACTGTAATTTAGACAAATTACATTCGATGTAGATGCATCCTGTGAGGTTTAGCAGAATATCCCAAAGAAATCTTTCATCCTGAACTCCAAGCGAAGTTCCGCAAAGATGTGAAAAGCCTGTCTTTGCTGTCAGGGAATCCATATCCATGGTGGGCCGTTGGGTCATGCCTTCAGATTTCAATGGCTCATCTGAAATTACAAGAAAAACTAGTTTTTGCTGTCACAAATCTGGGGACGCGCATTGCCGTGGGTGTTTCCCAAGAATCCACAGTAGGGGATTTCAAGAGTGAGTCTTTCTAATATAATTGCTTTTGTCTCGTCATCTTCATTTACATTCTTTAATTTTCTGCATGTATTGCAAGTTTTCAATTTTGACTGGTACGACAAAAATGTGAACTTTTTCATTGTGGGTTCCCAGGGATCCAAAGGTTAATTAACAAGGTCACTCATTTTGCGGAATCTTGGGGTGGATCAATATGTGTGCAATGCTCCTCATGGTTTAGTTCTGCAGCATTTTCAAAGTTTTGCTTTTATGTAAGAGCTAGGTGTGAGGAGGCAGCAACTTCGTGTTTTAAATTACTTTTGACTCGTTGGAATCGTAAAAGTACTCTTTGGCTATTGAATGAGGGGAAACAAAAACATTCATTTGGCTAGATGTAATTCGGTGTTACTTTCACCACAAATGCTGTAAACATGAGCAACTATCGTTGCATAACTCTTTACTTCTAGATATGGCTGGAACTGAGAAGGATATTGACGTGACAAAGACAATCAAGTTTGTATTTTTCACTTTTCTGGCCATCTCATATATGAAACATTGCATAGAGCTAATATGGCATGTTCCCAGATGAATATTGGAAGGGAGATCCCATTGAAAGTAGTGGATGTACGTCTCCTGTTGCTTTGTGGCTGTTCTTAGGTGTTGTGCTAGGATTCGCTTCATTCTCTAAGTACTTGTTTTTGGAAGCAACTCTCTGAGTACTTGCTTTTGGAAGCAACTCTAAATGGCTTTCCTCAGTGGAAGAGCCAATCCTTCAAACCAAAAGCAAGAGGGAAAAGAATGAACATTCCTCATACTGTAGAATTGATGTGGGAGTGCAAAATGGGGAGAGGGGGACCTTGTTGATGATCTGCTGGGAGTCTGGGACTAATAAAAGGTTTTAACGAGGATCAGTATCATCATCCTTTTGCAGGAAAATTTGAGATGGCGCATTTGAATTGTTTCCCTGAACATGGGAAGGTCCGTGTATGTGGATTAAAGGTAAGTTGTAATATTACTTTCTTCCTGCTGCTTTATGTTCTATTTGTGCCTATTATCAAATACTATTTATGTAAATTCCTTTTATTTTCCTTTGATCATAACAGGTGAGGAAAAAATCATGCTTCTACTACCTATCTGAATCATTTGTCCTGAAGCATGCTTTTCAGGGTGCAAATGGCTGGTTTCTCTATATTGCAGTGTGTCATATACAAGACCAAACAGGTTCAGCTGAATATGTAGCATCAAATATTTGCATTTTCTCTCCTGGTTTAGTGAAGTTTCTTATACTGCAAAAGCCTAGTTTTTGTTGCAGCTGCTAAAAAGAATAGCAGAAAGCTCAGAAGAAGAAAATTGAAAATGAAAAAACTGTCCTGCTTCAAAGCTGCGTGCTTGGATATTCCGAGAACAGCCTATTTTTCAAAGAGGGAAAAGAAGAACTGCAACAGAGTAATGAAAAATATCACTGCGAAGTGCCCAACAAACAGAATCAAGCAAAGGCATCTTTCGTCCCAGGAGAGCATTCTTCCTTTTGCACCTAGAGTTGATAGACAGGGAGATCGCAGTTCAGCAATAGAATGCCCCAGTGAAACAATATCCGGAACAGTATCAATTTCAGGCATAATAAATAGATATTTCTCGGGTTATGATGAGGTGACCTCAAACTTAGCCTTCTCTTGCATGGAACTCCAACAGAACAATAAGGAAAACATGAAGGCTCAATTTGCCATTGGCTCTCAGAATATACAAGTTGGTATACCATCGAGTCTTGTACCCAAAACACCTCCACAAAGACATTCTTTGTCAGTGTTGGCACCTAATTCAAGAGCTTCGAGAGATGCACCTAGAGAAAAAGTAGGAATGCATCTGGTAGAAGCTTCCGTCAATCTTGGGCTCTTTAAAACCAAGCAAAATCCTTCACTGTCTCTCTGCAAGGATGTGGATGGAAGATCAGGGCTATCTTTGTCTGCTAATAATCCCATCAGAACTTTGGTGTTTGAGATAACTGATGAGGATGACTGAATACCATTTGTCATCCTGCTGAAATTGAAGAACTCTGGAAATGATGATGAGGGCCTGTGCAGAAGGAACTCTCATAATCAGGTAGTAACAACTTGGCTGGGGGATACCAGCTTGGTGGAATCTTACGACTTTATCCTTTTCACTTGCATACTCCAATTTTAATAGCTTTTTGTGGGCCATGTAGTTTTTTTATATGGAGTGGAGGCTAAAGATCTCGGTGTATATTTGTTTTTGTTAATCTGTTTTGCAGGTGGAATCTGTAGGCTTATATTCTTTTTTCTTTTTCCTTTATGTTACCACGGATCCCTTATATATGTGTGAACTTGTTTGTCCTTAGGTGTCCTGCAATTACCTTGCATCCTGTATTGTGTGTAATATGCTTCATTTTATCAGCCTTGATCTTGGTTTCTTGGTTTAGGTTTTCTTTTTTCGGCAATAGTTGGGCATTACAGCTCCAATCAATGATATCCTCTTGGTTAGAAATAGTTGAGATGAATTTTGTTTGCAGATAAGAATCATATAGGGTGAGAGTTTTGCATTGGCACCTAGCCGTGCTGACGTTAAAGAGTGGAAACACCTGCGAATTGTAAAACAAAGCGCCTGTTAGCGTAGATGCAAGTGCGCAAAAAAAAAAAAAAAAAAAAATGTACCTCAAGAAAGGAAAGGAAGAGTTTGCTTTTGCTGCCGACTTTTCCATTACACCTTGCTTTACTTGCTTACTTTTGCATTACGCCTTCCGGAAAGAGCAGGAAAGGCTTTTGAGGAATCAATTTCCCAGACGAGCAAGAAACTTCGGCATTGGCTTTAGGGATTCTTGGGAAGGACTTATTCATGACTTCGTTAAAGGGTGTTGGGAGATATTTGCATGGCAATGAGCTAGCCATTGGTTCTAAGCATCTTCCCCCCACCACCCACCCACACAAACAAACAAACTTTTTCCTTTGGGAAACGGGTTCTAAGCATCTTAAAGTATATAAAATCTGTAAAGATATGCACTGTCAAGCTAAAAGATAACAATAAATAATAATATTTATGATTCAGAGACTGAGCCATGACCCATCAGCATACAATGAAACATATGCTCGGGAAAAAGAGATGCCACTGTATGGTTTGGGGAAAAGGAACGAGGAAGGAAGGACTGAAATTCGAGTCCCTTACCCAAAGCTAGTGTGAAAAAGTTTTTCTTTTGATTCTTTTTTTCTTTTTTTTTTTTGGAAGGAAATAATGGACACGATGTGTCTGTCTAGCTTTTGTTCGGAAATCTTCACTGTAGTACTACTACTGCTACAGTACTGCGTACTTTTTTTTTCTTGACGGAGCTGGTGTCCGGACCAATCTTTTCGAGGCTCGATTAATCTCACTCCAGCTCGGGATGAGAGGTCCCATTCCCTCGAACACGATAATCATAGGACTCGGACCCTTGCGGATACTGGACATCAGTTTCTAAGGAGGTTTGCTGAGATCAACCGAACTGTCCATGAGGAGCAGACAATTTGGTGGGAGGTATGGGTTGAACCTGACCTCCCACCCCACCAGGAAAGGTGACGGAGAGCTCAGCGGTTCTACAGTACCGCGTACTTCGTTAGCAAGAAATGGATGACTTTCGATTGGAAAGTCAAGTAGCCAATGTCGCCCCATCAAGTCTCTCCCTCGCTTGTACCGTGTACGCAACAAAAACTTGCTCACTAATGCATCCTTTATTGATTGATAATTAATGCTTTTAACAGATAATACTACTATAGTACTCAAATGGAATACACATAGAAGCAGAGAGTTAAAATTTTCAACCGTGATTATTGTTCGCCAACGTGTCAATTTCCCATCCAGTTTTATTTTATTTTAAGTTTTTAAAACAATCATATGCTCCTATACCACGTTCAATTCAAAAGTTGCTTGAACTCTAATGCAACTCAATAATAGTTAGTTAGTAGTGTTTGCAAATGCAAGTTAAATAACAACATCAAATTCGTTTGGAGATATAATCAATAAATAAAATCAAGGTTGAGAGATATTCAGTTGTTCAACTGGATTACTCCCTTGCTAATAAATGACATTATAAATGGGGATTTTTTATCCATTTTGCTACTCTTTTGATAGATAGAGTGATGATTACTATGAACAAATTACTTAGGTAACCATTAAACCTTTTGAATGTAGTCTGAGTTTTTGCCATTAAACTATTAATAGTATGTTTTTTGCGCGTTAAACTATCAAAAGTGTAGATTTTTTGCCATTTCATTTGACTTCACCATTAATTCTGTCAATCTAACTATTAATAATATGTTTCGTGAATCGTGTGGGCTTTTAGATACGACATAGTGGTTGAATCAGACGAAATGATTCAAAATTAAAACTTTTGATAGTTCAGTGGGTAAAACATACTATTAATGATTGAGTGGCCAAATCTCCACCGCTGAAAAAAGTTTAGTTGCTAGTATAGTAATTTGCTATTACCAACAATTATAAAAACTGTCGTTACATTTTATAGTCAAGAGTTCTTGAATTACTTCCAAAAACCTTTTGAGCCAATATATATACACGCGCATGTACAATACCATTCGCAATGAGTTAAGATTAATTAGAAAGGTTGCTTTGCTAGTCAAAGTTCCTGTTTGCTGTTCGTTTCTAATAAGTAGAGTTCCTTTTTTTTTGTTATAACGAAGAAATTTTTAAATACAAGATTATAATTAAGAAAATCATATCGCTAGTCATTTGTTTAACCTCGCCGATTGAATTTGATTCATCAACTAACCAAAAAACTTCTAAAACCCTTATATGATAGTAGTGTTTCATAACTTTTTAACTAGATTCAGATCTTTGTTTTTTACAAATATAACACTTAAAGTTCGTATATAAAAATTCAAGCAGTTGAAATTGTGTCTGTGGTAAAATCTTGTTTAAACTCAATTCAGATTAACAATTGAGCCCAGTCTAATCATAAATTTAATATAATTATTAAAAAATTAAAACCAATTAGAGAGCATTTTGGTGTGGAACTAGCTAGACTTGTTTAGACACCCATGGATATTTTTGGACACAAATTATCTTTTTTTATAATACTACGTGTTATCCCCAGAGCAGAATTACATTTTTTTTATCCTTTAATTTCTCTGTACTTTTGAAATTTTACTACTACTTCCCTTCTCCTCTGCGTCTGTCTCTGTATAAATAGCCCACACAAAGAGGAGGCCTTTGCTGAGTGGTTTTAATTTGTATTTCTCGTTGCAGACCTATTTTTCTCTCTGTATAATTATCTCCGTGCGATCAACATTCACCAATCGTATCCCAAAACCCTTCTCCAAAAAACCCTAGAAATTCACGATCGGCTAAAAAAGCAGAAAATTCATCTCTTCAATTTGTTTTATCGCCTCTTCATATCTTAATCTCATTTCTCCAGCGCCCGATCCGCCTCATTGATTTTATCAACTATTTTTCTTTGCAGTTTGCTGATAGAACTCATATCCGATCGATTCTAGGCTATAGAATCGGTCGACTTTGTAGTTTGTTATTCCAATCAGGCAATGGTTTCATTTGGTTGATTTCAATATGAAGTTGAAACGGAGGAGAGCCGTTGAAGTGGTTCGTAACCTTAACCTTGTTTATTAAACTACTTAGTTTATTGCTTGTTAAACTACTTAGTTGATTGAGTATTTGTTGAATTTTATGCTAAAGTTTTGTTCTTTTTTTTTTTAATGCTGAATTATAGTTTGTACTTGTTACTGTATAGTTGAAGTGATTTGAACTGTGAGAAGATTGTTTTATTTGTGAAACTCATGCACGAGAATTGTAAAGCTTATTCTTTTTAGGAATTTTCACCTGTTTTTGTTGAAGTAGGGGTAATGTCGTTCTGTAAAACTCAATCCTTTCTACACAATTGAGCTTCTCAGTTGTCATTTACCAATTTTGAAAATGCTGGAAAGGAACAAGTGATACTCTTGGGATATTTTTCTGAATGCTGCTTGTATCAGCTCTTCAATTTTTATTTTTCTTATTTGTTTTTTAGAACTTGATATCTACTTGGGAAAAAAGCATCAGTTTTACAAAACAGTGTACAGCGTATTCTAGTTTTTTTCCATGGATATGTTCTGTTGTTCTGTTTGGATTATTAAGCTGTGATTTTTCTGATCTATGCTATTCCAATTTTTATCTGCATTGCTATTATGTTTGGGATGTCGATGGATTAGGCTAATTCACTGGGTCATGTACGTGACTTTTGCTAATCGTGTCCTTTCCGCCTTATTGCAGCCTCCAAGGATTAAATATTTCATCAACAATGTTACTTCTACTCCTCTTGAAAATATTGAGGAACCGCTGAAAAGTTTTGTTTGGGAGTTTGAAAAGGTGCACTTTATGAGTGTCATTAATTCTAGTTCCTTTGCAATGCATTTTCTTTCAGAGTTACTGAATTTCTAATTGATGCAGGGAGATTTTCATCACTGGGTTGATCTTTTTAATCATTTTGATACCTTTTTTGAGAAATACATAAAACCAAGGAAGGATTTGCAGCTTGATGACAACTTTTTGGAGTCTGATCCTCCCTTCCCTAGGGAGGCTATTATTCAGATTCTGCGTGTTATAAGGGTAATCTTGGAGAACTGCACAAATAAGCACTTCTATAGCTCATACGAGGTATACATCTTCTCATGAAAACTGGATTTGATCAAGCATTGAATTGTCTTGACTCCAATTTGCTTGGGATGGCCGTAAAATGTGTTTTGCTATTCAGCTGCAGTGTAAGATGCCAGTAATATTAAAAAGTGTTAACCTCTAACTACATGATCGAGAAAGCAGTGCACTGGGATAATGTTTAAGATAGTAATCTTTGAAATCCTATTAGTTGTTATGATGTGTTTTTCATGGAAGCCCACAAGATTATGAAAGTTTTCAGTTATTCTGAATCCAAATATTGCTTAATGTAGCAGCAGTTTTATAAAGTTTGGGGAAAAGGGAGAACATGCATTCTAATATGCTGTGGAATAGGACTAGATGCTGTGGAGCTAGGAAGCCACAAAGTAAGTTGAGACTATGTACCTTGGATGAGTTTAATTGATCTATTTCAAAAGAATCGGATACATGGATTAGCTGCTGTTGAAGCAGAGGAAATGTGGAGTTGGTTAGTTGTAATAGGCATGCGGATCTACAATAAGGTGAACAGTTTGTAAATATACATTTTAGAAGTGCTTATGGATATGAAAGTATTTTTCTGCTTACGGACTTACCTGTCAAAAGTTAGGTGAGATATAACATTAACTTTTGACTCTTAATTGGGCAACTGAACTCATTGAACTTCAGTTGGAAGTAAGGTACAGAATTTACACAGGAAAGCTTGGCTTTCGGGGAAAACACAGAGAAAAATTTTTAGCTGACTATATTAGATCTCTGCAAATGAACTAACATTTTTCGGAGTTCTGTTTGGAATTGTTTTCAAACTCCCATTTAGTTTCGTAAGCCCTGTCATCAATTGGATTTGTGAAGTAAATTCATGTTCTAAGTTTGTTTAGTTAAGCGAAGATTATCATTGTATGACTACAAGAGTGAGTTTTTATTAGTGCAAGTAATTTGTTTTATCTACTTTTTGTTACCTTATCAATTTTCTTTCAAAATTTTTACTGCCTTTAACCACGTACTTGTAATATTGGTGCAGCATCATTTGTCGTCTCTGCTTGCTTCCACTGATGCAGATGTAGTTGAGGCATGCTTGCAAACTTTGGCTGCTTTTTTAAAGAAAACAATTGGGAAGTATATCATAAGAGATACTTCTCTCAGGTCAAAATTGTTTGCTTTTGCACAAGGTTGGGGAGGAAAAGAAGAAGGCCTCGGATTAGTTGCTTGTGCTGTGCAGAATGGTTCTGATGCAGTTGCTCATCAGTTGGGTTGCACCTTACACTTTGAGTTCTATGCTGTAAATGAATCTTTAAATGAGTTAGGTACTGCAGAGCAACATCCCCAAGGGCTACAAATCATTCATTTGCCCAATGTTGACACCAGAAAGGAGTCTGATTTGGAGCTGTTGAATAAATTAGTCGTAGAGTACAGAGTTCCCCCTAGTTTGAGATTTTCTCTTTTGACAAGATTGCGATTTGCGAGGGCTTTTAGCTCCCTTGCCATGCGACAACAATATACATGCATTCGCCTGTATGCCTTTGTAGTTCTTGTTCAAGCATGTACTGATGCTGATGACTTGGTCTCTTTCTTTAATGCTGAGCCGGAATTCATCAATGAATTGGTTACCTTGTTAAGCTATGAAGCTGCGATCCCTGAGAAGATTCGGATTTTGAGTATTCTTTCCTTGGTTGCCATTTGTCAGGATCGAGCACGTCAGCCTACTGTATTGACTGCTGTAACATCTGGTGGGCACCGTGGTATTCTATCCAGCCTTATGCAAAAAGCCATTGATTCCATTGCGAATAGTTCATCAAAATGGTCTGTTGTTTTTGCGGAGGCTTTGTTATCTCTCGTCACTGTTTTGGTCTCATCATCATCAGGTTGCTCAGCCATGCGCGAAGCAGGATTTATACCTACTCTTTTGCCTCTACTTAAAGATATGGACCCTCAGCATTTGCATTTGGTCAGCATGGCTGTACATGTGCTAGAAGCCTTCATGGATTACAGCAACCCTGCTGCTGCACTTTTCAGGGACTTGGGTGGTTTGGATGATACCATATCACGTCTAAAGGTAGAAGTGTCTCATATAGAAAATGGCTCAAAGCAGCTAAGCTCTTCCATTGTTGACCTTGACAGCTCTGAATCTAGCAGTTCACAAGCAGTCACGGAGTCTTCTTCTGATCTAGATAACATGCAGCCTCTTTATTCAGAAGCATTGGTTGCATATCATCGACGGTTACTGATGAAAGCCTTGTTGCGTGCAATATCCTTGGGAACCTATGCTCCTGGAGCCACTGCTCGTATTTCTGGTTCAGAAGAGAGCTTGTTGCCACATTGCTTATCCATAATTTTCAGGAGAGCAAAAGATTTTGGTGGTGGGTTGTTCTCTCTTGCTGCAACAGTGATGAGTGATCTCATTCACAAAGATCCTACCTGCTTTGGTGCTCTAGAAGCGGCAGGTCTTCCTGCCGCGTTTATGGATGCTATTATGGACGGTGTATTATGTTCTTCTGAAGCTATTAGTTGCATACCGCAGTGCCTCGATGCCTTGTGTTTGAATAACAATGGCCTTCAGGCTGTGAAAGATCACAATGCTTTAAGGTGCTTTGTGAAAATATTTACATCTAGGACATACTTGCGTGCCCTTACTGGTGACACTCCAGGTTCCTTGTCTAGTGGGCTGGATGAACTAATGCGTCATGCTTCACAATTGCGTGGACCTGGAGTGGATATGTTGATTGAAATACTGAACAACATTGCAAAACTTGGTTCTGGCCCTGAATCTGCTTCCTCTGCCGATTCTCCAGGCTCTACTGGACATGTCCCCATGGAAACTGATGTTGAGGATAAGTGCATGGCTGTAGCAGATGGTAGGGATTTGTGCAAGGTTGAAAGCTCGGAGCAAGCAGTTGAAACATCTTTGGATGCCTCAATAGTAAATATTGAAACTTTTCTTCCTGATTGTATAGGCAATGCTGCTCGTCTTCTTGAAACAATCCTACAGAATTCTGATGCCTGCCGTATCTTTGTTGAGAAAAAGGGAATTGAGGCTGTCTTGCAGTTGTTTGTGTTGCCTTCCATGCCTCTTTCTGTTTCTGTTGGTCAAAGTATATCTGTTGCATTTAAGAACTTCTCCCCGCAGCACTCTGTTTCTCTAGCTCGTGCAGTATGTTCCTTCTTGAGAGACCATTTGAAGGCGACAGTTGAACTTTTAGTTTCAGTGGAAGGCATGCCACTTGCTCAGCTGGAAGTTGCACAGAGATCGAAATTCTTGAGATGCCTTTCCAGTCTTGAAGGGATACTGTCTCTTGCCAATTCTTTGTTGAAGGGTACAACTACCATTATTTCTGAACTCGGTTCGGCAGATTCTGATGTGTTTAAGGATCTTGGCAGGGTTTATAGGGATACACTATGGCAAGTATCTTTGTGTTGTGACACAAAGGCTGACGAGAAGCGGAATGTTGAAGCAGAGCCTGAAAGTGCTGAGGGTGGTGTTTCTAATGCAGCTGGAAGAGAGAGTGACGATGATGCAAACATTGTCTCGTACAGGTATACAAATCCAGTTACTGTCAGGACGAGTTCTCACTCCCCTTGGGGTCTGGAACGGGAGTTTATTTCTGTTGTTCGTTCAAGTGAAGGTTTTAATCGTCGTAGTCGACATGGTTTGGCACGTTTAAGGGGAGCAAGGGCTGGCAGGCATTTGGAATCTTTGCAAATAGATCCTGAAAGTGCAGCTAATGGCACAGAGCCTGCTACCCAGGATTTGAAGAAGAAAAGTCCTGAGGTTCTTGTTTTAGAGACACTTACAAAACTTGCTTCCAGCATACGTACTTTCTTCACTGCTCTTGTCAAGGGATATACATCTCCGAACCGTCGAAGGACTGAGACAGGATCTTTGAGTTCAGCTTCAAAAATCATTGGAAGTGCCTTATCTAAAGTTTTTCAAGAGGCTTTTGGGTTTTCAGGATATTCTTACTCTTCTGGGCATGAAATTTCACTGTCAGTCAAGTGTCGCTATCTTGGGAAGTTGGTTGATGATATGGTGGCTCTTACATTTGATGGTAGGCGTCGGACCTGTTACACAGTGATGATCAACAATTTTTATGTTCATGGAACTTTTAAGGAGGTTCTAAGAACATTTGAAGCTACAAGTGCGTTGCTGTGGACACTACCTTATTCGCTTCCAGCTTCTGGTCTTGATCATGAAAAGAATGCTGAGGAAGGCAAATTGTCTCACAGTTCATGGCTGCTTGATACATTGCAGAGTTATTGTCGCCTTCTTGAATATTTTATCAATTCTTCTTTGCTGTTGTCTCCAACCTCAGCATCCCAGGCACAGCTGCTTGTGCAACCTGTTGCAGTTGGTCTGTCTATTGGATTGTTTCCTGTTCCTAAGGACCCTGAAGTGTTTGTTCGTATGCTGCAGTCTCAGGTTCTGGATGCTATAGTTCCCATCTGGAATCACCCTTTGTTTCCAAATTGTAATCCAGTTTTTATAACTTCTATTATTTCATTAATCACTCATGTATATTCTGGTGTTGGTGATGTTAAACAAAATCGTAGTGGGTTGTTAGGGAATGCAAACCAACGTTTGGTGGCTCCACCACCTGATGAAGCTACCATTGCTACCATTGTTGAGATGGGGTTCTCAAGAGCAAGAGCCGAGGAGGCATTAAGAAGGGTGGAAACTAATAGTGTCGAAATGGCTATGGAATGGTTATTTAGTCATGCTGAAGATCCTGTGCTGGAGGATGATGAATTGGCTCGTGCACTTGCTTTATCTCTAGGAAATTCCTCAGAAGCATCTAAAGTCGATAACACAGAAAAATCAGTGGATGTTTTGGCAGAAGAGGAACAAATTAAGACCCCTTCTGTTGATGACATCCTTGCTGCAACAATGAAGTTGTTTCACAGTAGTGATTCAATGGCTTTCCAGTTGACAGATTTGCTTGTGACTCTTTGCAATAGGAACAAAGGAGAAGACCGTGATCGGGTGATTCCTTATCTTGTAAAGCAGCTAAAGCAGTGCCCCATGGAATTCTCAAAGGATAATAGTGCATTGTGCATGGTTTCACATACTTTAGCATTGATTTTATTTGAAGATGAAAATGCTCGACAAATTGCTGTGCAGAGTGGCATTGTCCCATTGGCAATTGATATCTTGATGAACTTCAAAGCAAGGACTACTTCAGGAAATGAGATTTTGAGCCCGAAATGTATTAGTGCTTTACTTCTAATCCTGGATAATTTGTTGCAATCCAGGCCCAGAATCTCTCGTGAAAGTACAGAAGAGACTGCAGCAGGACCAATACCTGACTCATCAGAGGAACACGTTGCATCTCCAGTTCTGGAAGATGTTGCTGAGAAAAAATCCACTCCTCTTTTGCAGGATAAAGAAAGTAGCACCATCTTTGAGAAAACATTTGGAAAACCTGCAGGCTTTTTGACGATGGAAGATTGTGGTAATGTATTGATTATTGCTTGTGACTTGATAAACCAGCATGTACCAGCTTTGGTTATGCAGGCCGTTCTTCAGTTATGTGCTCGCTTGACAAAACAACATGCTCTGGCTTTGCAATTTCTTGAAAATGGTGGCTTGGCAGCTCTATTTGGTCTTCCAAGGAGTTGCTTTTTTCCAGGGTATGATACCTTGGCATCTGCAATTATTCGACATCTTATTGAAGACCCTCAGACACTGCAAACAGCTATGGAATTGGAGATACGACAAACTCTAAGTGGAAATCGTCATGCTGGTCGTGTCTCTGTTAGAACATTTTTGACATCAATGGCACCTGTTATATCTAGAGATCCAGGGGTATTTATGAAAGCAGCAACTGCTGTTTGTCAGTTGGAATCATCTGGAGGAAGGACCACAATTGTGTTATCAAAAGAAAAAGATCGAGAGAAGGAGAAAGAGAAACAAAAAGCTTCTGGTGTTGAAGCTGGGATAGCTTCCAATGATTCTGTTCGAATATCTGATAATAAAATGCATGATGGACCTGCAAAGTGCTCTAAAGCCCACAAGAAGGTTCCTGTGAATCTCACTCAGGTGGTGGATCAACTTCTTGAAATTGTATTGACATTTCCATTGAAGAAAAGTGATGAAGATTTCGCTGCTTATGAGAATGCTATGGAGGTAGATGAATCCACAACCAAGATAAAGGGAAAGTCCAAGGTTGATGAGACGAGGAATGCTGAGACAAATAGTTTTTCAGAGAAATCTGCAGGTCTGGCTAAGGTGACATTTGTTCTCAAGTTACTGAGTGATATTCTTTTGATGTATGTACATACTGCTGGAGTAATTTTGAGACGGGGTATTGAACTGTCTCAACTTCGGGGATCTAATCAATTAGACTGCTCTGGACAGGGTGGAATCATCCATCATGTTTTACATCGGCTTCTTCCCCTTCCAATTGATAAAACTGCAGGTCCAGACGAATGGAAAAATAAGCTTTCTGAAAAGGCTTCCTACTTTTTGGTAGTTCTTTCCAGCCGCTCAGGTGAAGGGCGTAGGCGAGTGATTAACGAACTTGCAAAAGCATTATCTCCATTTTCAAATTCAGAAAGTAATTCATCCAGTTGTAGCTTTTTGCCAGATAAAAAGGTCCTTGCTTTTGTTGATTTGGTATATGCTATTTTATCTAAGAACTCATCTTCCAG